TGGACCCTCAGAATATACTTCTGCATTTATGATTTGACTTTGATCGAATCCAATCGGCTAGAATTCAACTTTGGTAAAGTAATTTTGATATCCCTCATTTCTTGTGATTTTTGTATATCTCTTTTCGAAAACCAAATCAAAGAACTATGCTACTATTTCTTATCTATAAACAAGTATATTTTGTTAAATCTGAAATCAAATAAATTATTTACATATACCAGATTTTGCCACCACAACAGGTTTGTTAAATAACTATAGCTCAATCACGTTAAAAAAGCACATCAGTATACCAGCTACAATTATGTGATATGTGTAGTGGGAACATCAACATTTAGGTTTCTATCGGCAGCTTTTCGCATTTAGTGAAAATGTTTTTTATAGTGGAAAAGGTTTTTAGGTAGTACAGCAATTTCCATAATTATTCCTAGATATTGCAAGTGTGTTTTTATACCTAATTTATTTTTCTTAAACTGAAAGGTTCTTTTTTCATGACAATGGTATACTTAGAAGTTTGTTGGAAGTTTTGTTGGATAAAGGATTTGGGTTTAAGTCATACAAACTGGACCTTCGGAATACACCTCTGCAGATTGTGATTTGGGTTTTGTACACAAGAATGCCAATGCACATGAAAAACTTGAACGTTTTTGCTAATACAATGATAGCCTAGAATACGACGTCAACCTTGGCAAAGTGATTTTGCAATCCCGCGCCTCTTGTGATTTTTGTATATCTCTTTTCAAAAACCAAATTAAGCAACCATGCTGATATTTCTGATCTATGAACAAGTATATTTTGTTAAATCCGAAATCAAATAAATTATCTACGTATAGCAGATTATGTCACCATAACAGTTTTCTTCAATAACTATAGCTCAACCACCGAAAACACATCAGTGAAACATTAAGGTTTCTATCGGCAACTTGTCGCATTTGGTGCTTTGGTTATCGATAATTTAATGATTGTTTCATGGGCACGACAACCTCAGGTTATGAATGCATTTTGTATATTATCCTAACGATGATCGAAAATACAATTTCGTGACATTGTTAGCACCTCTACAAGTACATAGAAACATAAAATAGTTCTAGTTGAATTATATACTTCGTAAATTCTAATATAATTGTATTTTTTATCGAGCACGTATAGGTTTTAACCACATAAGCTGCTTGTGTATTCGTTTGTGAAATCCCTGTGTCGACCAAAATGTGAATTATATTGAAAAAAATCGATAAAGCAGACTGACCTGGTACTTTCCACGTATTAACAAAAGATATACATTCATTGAAAACTTTTGGAAGTCCCAAGATTTTGGTATTCTTGACTAATTTCAATTGTATAAAACAAAGCTTGTCTTTTAAGGAAAATCGAGAAATAGCAAAACTTGACGAAAATTAATCTCAAAAAATGGCGTCAAGTAGGTTGACTCTGCGCCCATCCACGCAACGCCGTCATCTGTTCATAGAGGAGAGTAAGACCCACTGAGAAAAAAGTTACGAGCATGTATACCAGAGAAATTAAACGAATTAAGTCAAACAGAACCACACAATTAGTCCATAGACATTCTTCCCCTTGCCCTAACAGTTACCCTGCTGCAGAAGTAGTGACGCGTATCGAAGGCATTTTTCTATCATTCTGTCTTAAGGAAAACTGTACGGAGAAATCTATGATGTGTGAAATGTGTGTAGTAAGTGCATAGAACTACCGAGGCTGGGAGCGTATAAGCATACTTAATTTATAAAAAAAAATGAGATGATCCGCCCTCACTCTCTACAACCCCCAATTTTGTACCACTGAACGACCTTCCATAAATGACCAACATCCTTTAAAACGTCAATAGTTTAAGCGATTTTTTTTTTCGTTTTTTGCCTTTTTATCTGTCGCTACTGCACCAATTTTCAAAAACTTCAAAGCTACAAGTAATCTTGTGTGAAAATTTCATCAAAATTCGATTGGTACTTTCCGAGTTTCAAAAAGCATCTCATTTTGTATCTTTTTGGCGATTACAATACTTCCTCGCCAGTAGGCGCGTGAAGTAAGAATAAGCCAGGATAATACATAATATACACGTAAATATACATTTCCAGCCAAATTTTCAAGATGCTATGCGCATTTGATACGTAATTTGAAATGGTATTCGACTAACAGGAGAAAGAGATACTTCATGTAAATCCTATGAATCAATAGTCTAGATCAGGTGTGATTTGAAAACCTTTAACCTGATGCATTGTGTAGAGGAGCATGATCTTGCTGGAAGCACAGTGTTGTGCAGCTATCTAATCTGTTAGATTGTTAGGAAGAAAAATTGAATTTGTTTGGGGTCCCTAGCAACGACAGCCAAATAACGGAATGTTGTACACCTAGGCACTGGCTGGCAGCCAAAAACACTCCACCATCTAGACTATTTGCTGCTCTTCAAATTTATCTACTTCTACTTCTGCCAGACTACCAGGCTGACGATCAGCTATATAGGGCAGTTGTGCTGTTGGAGGATAAATGGTGTAGCAGAAGCCTCACTGAGCTAAACCGATGCTTTACGAGAATAGTCCAGATGGAGGAGTATTTTTGGCTGCTCAGTCAGTGCCTAGGAGTGAAGGATTATGTTGTTTGGCTGACGTTGCCAGCGACAATAAGCACGAACAAGCTTTCAATCCTGATGAGAAGTATCACTAATAATTTGTTATTTGTCAAACTAGAATGTAATACTGCACTCAAACCGCATTTGTCCATCCATAACACTTTTTGAAGAACTGCCGGTCATTTCTGAATTTTTGAAGCATGTTTCTGCACTCTCCTGCTCTTTGGGTAGTCTTCTGTCTCTACCAGGGGGTTCATTTTCAATTATCTGTAGAACTGCATCTTCAGCATCCACATCGATTCTCGGTCTCACGATTATTTCTAACGTCCTATACAATAGTCCGAAAAATTTGCTAAGCTGGAATAAATATGTTTTGATATTCTTCAGAAAAATTAAGGGCATTTCTGCATCTTCTTGTGACGAGTACGGCATCTTGCATCGAAATAACACAAGATTAGTGAATACGTATTGTCTCTGCAACCTCTTCATAGTGCGGACGTTAGTTTATTATCCTCTACAAGTTGTATTATCCTATTTATTTTACGAAAGGGCGTTAAGTCCATCACCCCTTACATAGATCACACCCGGCATTCATTTGAATTTGAGGACTTATTATCTCTTGATTGTTTCCTGATTCTATTCGGAATGTAGAAGACTGACAATGACAGTGATGATTGAGTTCACAAAATCCGAATCTACGAGATTGAGAGTACCTGCAGAATTTTGTCTATTTTGAGTATATTTTGTTTATCTATAAGGTATTTTGGAAAGTTTTTTCTAACTACAAGGACAGTTCATCATTCCTTTAACTGTTTCTTCATGCTTATTTGAATGTGCTGTAATATTTTTGACATTCAGATGAAGTTACGTTTTATATAGCAAGATTAACTGTACAAATTTTTCAGAGAGTTTTTTCTCAAAGATACAATATTTGGTAACATATCCTGTGAAGCTGATCCAAAAATAACAAAAGATAATCTCAGAAAAAAATATTACAGACCTAAAAGTAGCGATTTTCTACAAATTCTTCAAAATGGCGATAACTCTAAAACAGTGCTCAATAAGATAAGGATATATATATATAACATATATATACCATATACCATATATATATATATATATATATATATATATATATTGTTTTTATGATTGAAAGTGATCCTTCCTATCACCCCCTTTTGTTTGACAGGTATATTATATAGCGTAGTTACAATGTTGTGGAAAGTGGGGATTTCTTTATATGAATGACACTTCAATACTTTAATTCAAACAGATAAAAATAAGGCCACATTTCACAGATGTATCAAAGAAATTTAAGATATTTACCAAATATTTGTACTTGAGAGCTATAAATTTTATAGCTAAATAAACTAAATACAATCACATAAATGATATGCCCCACAATGGGAATTTCACCTTAGCAAAAAATTCCGTCTTCTTTTATCTGAAAATCCGGATGAAACAGGACATTACTAGAGGAAGTAGCTGTTCTGGGTTTGAATAGACTCAAACAAAAAAGAGACTGTAAATTGACATTTTATCTCAGCACAATCAACGTGTTTTTAAAATGAAATGAGATTGCAGAATCATACACGAATATCAGGAAACATATTTAAATCGAGTTTTATTCATCAAATTGTCATATAGAATATACAATAAATAAATCATTGTATTTACGTTTAATGTTTTATTAAACGATCAACTTGATATGTATAATGAAAGGATAAAATAGCGGGGAACGCTCAATTTGAAAACAAGAAATTTAAAATATTCAAACCACCAATATATGCCTCACATCAGACAATCTGATGTTTGATCTGTATACCTGTCAATAGTTGTAATATAGGTAAAACCTGATAGAAAAGTTATAGTAGGGAATACAACTTCATGTTTGAAAAGTGGTAGTATACAATGAACAACAAGGTCCTGATTATTCTTGGGCTTGGAGTATTTCAAAATTATTTTATTCAGCCTGATCACAGAAATTATCATTTCGAAAGGTTTCTCTTTTTTGTATTCATAAGCTTGAGTCTCCTTGGTCATACTTATACAAAAGTAATAAGGGTAGTCTCTTAAGTACAGCCTTTTCAAGCTGGTTAAGATTTTGTCAAAATTTGTGCTCATTTGGAAGGTAAATCCCAGCGACTAATTTTCATCCCATTCCTTTCACAAAAGACATCTATTATGGTAGATCTGCTCTTTAATAATTACTTTGATATAGGGTCGACAATTCCTCCCTTTCTCCGAGATACATATCGTGATATTTATAGGTTTTCACATTATAAATTCACTTAGCATACATTTTATACAATTTCAAAATATTTTATTATTGCAATTCTGCCACTTAATAGTAAACAAACACTTTGATGAAGGCATCATTTAAATTTGATGAAAAAAACTGTACACACGGACATGTGATATCTAATCAAAACCAAATACTTACCCCACTGAAATCACTACCACCATGCAGCTCCCCTAAGCTAGGCCTCTTCAATGCCTTCTTGGAATTCCTATAATTTTCTAAACGCGGTAGAGCCTCTCTAGTCCATTGTATTATCGATCTCTTCCTTTTAGGTTCCTGTTGGAAACTTCCTACGCTACTCCCGTTCTTCAAAAAACTCCCTTCTTGCAAGGTAAACGCAACATTGTCACAACCGTTCATGGTTATCTTCGAATTATTGTCCTCCATGTTGAAATGCGAGTAAAAGACACTAACTTATGGCACTAAGTCATTATATTGGGGTTTATCGTGAGTTTTTGAAAGAATGGTGAAAGGGCTGAGTGGGCTAGGGTATATGGGGGGTGACTTGAAAAAAAGGCGAAGGAGCGATGTTATGGGTAGGGAAGGTGATAGTCGGGGGTAAAAAATCAAGGAGGCGATTACCGACCGCGTGGTCTGAAACAATTGACAAGCGACGATGCTCGGTTGTCGACTGAACCGATTTGCGTACTGTCGCCGGAACTTATGGGGTTCGCGCGACACGCATCCAATCATTTTATCGGGTCTTAACGAGATTTTACCGTGAATAATATGCGCTCAGTCGCAAACCACTTAAGATGATCATTAAAATTTGCCGATTTGTAAGAGATGCGCTGAACAAGACTTTTAATAAAATTGTACCTTTCCGCGGCGTTATTTGTTAGTCTATATAGGGTGTTCCTTAATGATTTGCGAATATTTAAGGGTAGGAATCCACATGAAAAATTAATGTTAGGTTGCTTTATAAACTATTGTCCAAAAATTTTTCTTTACAAAAACTCGGGGTGTTGGAGTTTTAGGGAAAGAATGGAAATTAATTATTATTTTCAGAACCGCTTCAGATATTTCACTGATATTTAGTACGTAGTGAAAGTTGATAAAGTTGTATATTATTCAATGCAAAAATAATTTCTTGCTTTAACAGTGGCGTGCGTACGGGTATTGACTTCGATATTTTTTAAGAAAAAGATGGTACGTCAATGGTTTTTTGCCAAATAAAAATAATTTATGAATTCCCCGATCAATAAATCTCTCTTCAATTGTTTCCCCTCGATGCGCCGTTTTTGAGTAAAAGAATAAAAATCGTTCTATCGTCTAACTTGCAAAATTATCTTTAACTTAATTGCAAAAATTAAACACATTAGGGGTAATGAACAACAACAACTGACAACATAAACATAACATTAAAACCAACGAAATGATTACAAAAATTCTTGAAAATGGCCCCCTTCACTTAGTATGCATGCTTCCGCCCTCCTTCTCATGGAATTGCGCACTCGTTGAAATATCCCTGGAGTGTTTTCTATTCTATCACAAGCTGCAACTATGCTTTCGCTTAATTCCTCTACAGTGTTGATGGGACTTGGGTACACTAATGTTACAAAAAGAAATCTAAACTGCTGAGGTCTGGGAACCTTGGTGGCCATTCTTGGGTCATACCGCGGCCAATCCAACGATTTGGATCATGCATGTACCCACATATTGTTTCTTATTACTAACGGAACATCATCAAGCAGCAAAGGCAACTGTTGTTGATGTCAAGTCGTCCCGGCATGAAGAATGGCCAATAAAGTGGTTGCCAATAATTCCTGCCCATATGTTGTAAATGGGTTTCGGTTACGGCATAGGGATTTTCTTCTGCCCACAAATGATTATTCTGGAAATTCTAAGTGGCATTTCAAGAAAAATTAGCTTCGTCCGCGAACAGAATCATTGATTCAAATTGCGGTTTTTGTGTAATTTTTTGAAGATACCAATGACAAAAGGTCACACGCCTTGAAAAATCAATGGGAAGTAATGCCTTTTCTCTTAAAATATGATAAGGATATAACAAAAAATCCACTAAAATTCTCCAAACAATTTGATGGCAAATATTTAAGTGTCTAGCGATCTTCCTCGTACTCGTTTCAGGATGTTCTTCGACTTCGTGCAGCACTGCTTCCTCAATTTCAGGTGTTCTGACACTTAGAGGTCTACCTTCAGATGTTCCCTTTTCGGACAGAACCAGTTTCAACAAGACGACGATGAATATTAGAAAAGGTTCGACTATCTGATAAAGCACGGTCGGGATATCTCTGGTGATAAATCCGTCTGGCTTGCTCATCATGACTGTCGGCAAGGCCATATACTTAATGCATTTCCGCCATTTCTGCATTTGCTAATTCACCATTATTAACAAGATTGTAAAAACTAAATGATGAAAAAGATGTCACAGCGAACAGACTTGAATAACAGAGACTTGTCTGATGTCAAAAGCCAGTGACACATTACAGAGCAACTAGATATTTATTGCTAAATTGCATTCTTCAATTATTACACTAATTTTTGGGACAACAGAACGGTTTTTATTTTTTTACTCAAAAGTGGCGCATCGAAGAAAAACAATTCAAGATATATCATTTGCTTTAAATTGAACGAGAAATTCAAAAATAATTTTTATTTGGCAAAATCCATTGGCGTACCATTTTTTCCTTTAAAAATATCGAAGTCAATACCTATACGCACGCCACTGTTAAAGCTAAAAATTATTTTTGCATTGAAAAATATGCAACTTTATTAACTTCCACTACGTACTAAATATCAGTGAAATATCTAAAGCGGTTCTGAAAATAATAATTAATTTCCATTTTTTCCTAAAACTTCAACACCCCGAGTTTTTGTAAGGAAACATTTTTTGGCCATAGTTGATAATGCAAACTAACATTAATTTTTCATGTAGATTTACACCCTTAGATATTCGCATATCATCAAGGAACACCCTGTAGATTGAAGCCGGAAAACGCAAGGGTAGCCTTGCAAATTTAGCCTATGCCGGGATAATGTTCATTTTGTTGAGGTTCTTGCCAATATTCTTGATATTACAAAGGCACTGTCCTTTGAAAACTTCCGTCATCTGGTCTTCAATGAAGACTTTGGAGGTAATTTTCGTAATTTATGGGCCTTTCTCTTTGTTCAAAACTGTCAATGCGGGTGTTCCTCAGCGAACGGTTCTGGCTCCAACATTGTCCCTCTTCTACATTATGACCTTTTCTGTACGCTATATTCAATGCGCAGCCCAATTTTGACGATAGCAGAGCCTTGTCAGAGGGTCATTCGTTTCGGCTAGTCGAAGTTAAAATGGCTTAGGACACTATTTGGCACAAAAACGTCTTGTCAGGCCAGGAAATATCCTCTCATCTGCTCGAAAAAATATTCTGATTCAATTTTTTGCATAATCTTGTTCAGAAATCCTAACGAATCTGCATGCTTCCAGGCTCAAGGACTAATTTTGATTAAATAATTTTTTGATCATCATATTTGAGAAAGCGCGAATTATACCATAGACAACCGCCTAAAAATAATATGAAGTAACGAGAATATTAATGAAGACTTGAAGTAGCCAAAGTTATTATTTTGATTTAAACAAGATTTTTGTTCTACTACCAATGTATTAAATAAACTCTCTGGAAATTTAAACATAGGTTTATTCAAGCAAGTATTTTTCTGTGTACTCAATATATTCGGGAACTTTTTGTAAAAAATAGATGAAAAAAATTATAACAGTTAGAAAATCATAGAATGTGCCAAGTGCCATTGTTTTTTTTCTTCAGAAATTCTTCTTTGGCAGGTCAGGTTTGTTAATTAAGAGCGCGCTCAGAGATTACCAAAATGATTGGATGCAAAACCGATCAACATTATTTTTGGAGATACAAAATTATTGGAGTAGTCAAACCAATAATTCTCTATTCCAAATGATTTGATTCTTCTTTTCTCTATTTCTTCCTTTCTTTCCTTTTTCCCTCAGCCCCTTGAACATGTTTGGTTTCTGGGTAGCCAGACCAGACAGACCAACAGACTGACGACACTTTTAACTAAGACCAAAGGTCTCTCACGAACAATGACGAATAGTAGTAAACGTTTTAAGATTGAACGTCACGTGTGCCAAACTGTAGCAGTTATAGTTTACAGTGCCATTGAATGGGGGCTAAGTAACTTCTGGTTGTGCAACGATGTATCCAACAAATACTGATGGGAAGATAAAGGACTTCTTTGTCTTATCCTGCACAGACTGGTCGAACGTACACGCACTGGAGTGGCCCAGCTGATTATTTGGGAAACCCACTGGTTCAGAAAGTGTTTTCACTACAAATTAATCACTACCAGTCTAATCATGTTAGACGAAAATACCCCAGAGCTTGTGAAATAATTGCAAAGTGTGGGTTTATTGCTGCAAGTTGTTCAAGGAGGTATTCAAAACATTGTTGGTAATGCGACGATGGTTTCTCGCAGATATTTGAAATTCTTCAAATTAGTAGGATTCGTACTTCTAAATAACCACAACAAAATTGGAGTAGATTGATAGTTTTTGAGAATTTCTAATTGTTTATCCCAAAACACTTATTTTACGGCCACCACTACTACTTTATTGAGCAATATACAGGGTTATTTCGAAAGGACATTTTATAGCAAAATACACTAATTTACCTTGCCGATTTGAATCGCATAATGTTTCGGAAGATAAATGTTATTTTTATGCAAAAAAGGATAGGATTCAAACATTTCGTATTTGTGAGTAATTCGCAATCAAAAGATGATATACACTTCCACTTTGTTTTAAAATTTGTATAGTACCGTATGTTTTTCGAATATCGTAGCGCATTTCTTCAATTACCCCCAAAGACGAAATATTTGAATTTTTGAAAAGTTTTATTTCGCATAAAAATAACATTTATCTACGTAGAAATGTAAAAAAAGGATCTAATAGTTATGGATCAAAAGATGCTCCCCTACCATAGGATAGAGTTTTATTTGCGAAATTAAAAAATTTGAGAAAAAAATTCCAATATTTTGAGAAGTAAAATAAAAAGAATTGATTAGTTCCACAATTTCCAGTCGTGATTTTATACAAACAGAAGAATCTAACATGGGTAATATCAGGAGAAGCATACCAAGAAAACCAGTGGCGTGTATAGACAAAGTTTAATGAATGCCAAGTCTCTATGGTACTGATTGCGGATAAGACACGCATATTATGCAATTAATTTTATAATGAGGTGCCATAGCTTTTCTTCACGTGTCATATAGGATTTCCAATGTCAAGCTTCGTGGTGTTTTCAGAATAGGGGAGGCTAAACCTTTTCATAAGAATTTTAGGATTTCATCTGTATCTGTAAATGTTCAAACCTAAATATCTCCAAAACGAGCGAAGGCACAATTTATGTAAAATTGAATGGTATTTTATAAAAATGCACTTCTTTTATCGTAAAAACTAGTGGCGTAAAAATATTCCTAATAGGTTTCCAGGTGCCCCAGTTTTATTTTGAGCCGGGAATATACATTAGCAATATCTGTTAGCCTGACCTTTCACCAAAATAGTAACGCAGAGTTTTCATTTTGGAAAACAAAGATTTCCCACAACAATATCCCCTATAAGCCGTTTAGAAAACTATGACCTTTGGAGAAAGGCTTATAAGATATTTCTTTCTCCCCGAATAACCCAAAACAACAAAACTGAAAAAAACACTGACCGGATATAAAAAGAAAAACAATTTTTAGAA